TTTTTTTTTTTGTTCCAAATGTTTGTTTCTCTGAAGACATCCTCAACTCCAGTCGCCAATATCTCCCCGGTCTTCTCCGTGCTAGGTGAAGGTAAACAGCTTCTTAGCATTTTGTTGCTGTTTTGCCACGTTCACGATATAATGTTCGAGACTCTGTTAATTGAGTTTACATGCTGAAAATTATGAGTTATAAGGCTTAAAATTCAGAGTACAGTGGAGATAACCAAGTTTACGTGTTAGTAACTAATGCAAGTGTGAGCGTCTTGGCCCGGTTTAGGATGGATCGAACTTCGCCTTCGCCAGTAGAATGCCGGAAACCTGCAAATAACTCTCACACCGGGGGTTGTGTCCGGTGAAGAGCCTCCGATGCTTAAGTCAGTATGTGTATGAGTATACTGGAGTTGAATAATGGAAAAATCGTGTTAAGGAAGAAAGGCTCACCCCCTTTATATAGGGGTGAGATACCTGACCTAGAGCTGCCAGGATTTGGTGAGCTGGCTGCCCAAGCTGCCCGTCCGTACTCTGACATACCGCGTGCATGTCAGAGGTGGCGCAGGACGTTGGGAGCTGTTAGAGGTGGTTATCGTTATCAACCAATGTGTTCTCGACACGTGTCCTTCTGCACATGGAGTGAACATTCTTCTGAAATTCTGTTAGAGGCTCTTACACGCGCCTGTGACTAGGCCGATTCATAAAGCGCTATGTCCACGAAGGGGTCGACCTGTTGAGGTCGACTAAACTACCCGATCGTTTACATGGTCGAATGATGGATTGGTCGACTGCTTGACTGGTCGACTGGTTGGCTGGTCGATTTTCCCGCCACTCGGCTCGGTTTCTTCACGGTATGGCCTTTTCGACCGGTTCAGCAGACCGGTTTAGCCTTGTGGGTATAATATCCTATATCATCTAGTCCCACCCCACTCTGGTCAAGTCTGAATGACTCGATCTAAGAGTGAATTTGTGCTCGTCGCTCTCCTAGGTTGTATTACATTCGGTATCGACCATCTGATGAGTTTCCCTCTCACTTTTTCAATTAATTCTTCTTTGATTGTCAGAAATAAAGTCGTCTGTCACACGTCCTTTCTGCCGCGCTTGCTTTCCTGCCACGCGTCATACCTGCCACTTTTGTCAGCTGCTTTAATTCTTGCACCCCCTCGCATAACGCATCCACTTTGAGCTCCGTGTGAATTAATATTTTCCACCGTAAGATCTGACTTTAATCCGACGGCTCTCATCTTTCTACCCTTTAACTTACCAAAGTATAAAACCCGTACTATATTTATCATTGCCAGACATGTTTATTATTGATATTGGAGATTGAACCATGTATTTGGATTTTTTTGTTTATGCATGCTAGACTAGGAATTGGGATAACTGTTTTAGAATTATGAATTGGGACTATTTTTTATGATTGAGTAATTGGCGAGGCATGTTCATTGTTGGAATGAGATGTTTATCGAGATGGTTGTATTCCCCGTGAGACGTTTATCGGGATGGTTGTGTTCCTCGCGGGTTACGTGTTGACTTAACTGTTTAAATTTGGTGATTTGAGTAGCGCCGTTAAATAAATTTTTAAATTTATATGCGAAAATTTAACTCTGATTTTTAGAAAAATATTCGGTTATTTTCTCTTGAAAATAACGGGGCGTTACACGCACTCTCTTTTTTGACCTCAGGTCAGGCAAACTGCTTGAGTTTCGCAAAATCCTCCTCAGTCTACTCCAGGTTCACGTATTTCTTGCACTTTTTCAGCACCTCATCATGCGTTCGGGCTGGTGTTTTGGCAAGGGAGCTTCGACATAGACCAACCCCCAAACTCCTTATGAGACCTCCAGCCTTGATCTCGTCTGAGGCCGAAGGTATCTCCACGCAGGGTTGATTATAACTAGGCACATAATTTCTCAAAGATTCCTCCTTTTCATGTCTCATCGCCATCAACGTCAAATATGTTTTTTCCTGGGATATTGCATTGGCGTACTGATTCAGGAATAAGCTCCAGAAATCTTTGAAATCCCTTACCGACCCTGGGGGTAGCTGGTGGAACCAATCCTAAGCTCCTCCCCTCATAGTAGCTATAAAAGCTCGACAACTGATAGTATGAGAGTACTCATGGAATGCAAACATATCCTCAAATTACCTCAAATGCCTGGACGGACCAGTCGACCCATCGTAAGTGAAACTAACCTCCCTGAATTTGGTCAACAACTCAGCTTCTAGTATCTCTCGAGAAAAAGGATGTCCTTGAGTTCGACGTGTGGCCTTCCCTTCGACTTTGCCTGCAACTGGTGGATCTGCTTTTCCATTCTCTCAAAATTCTATCCTTGGGGTCTCTGCTACTTGACTCGTCCATCTCTGTTTCCTTCTTGGTCGTCCCCACCACAGTAGTGGGAGGTGGTGGTCGCATGGGACGTTTTTTGAGCAACCTGTTGGGCTACTCCTACTGCAACAACGTTCGCGATCATTTTCTCGAGCTCCTCTGGACAGCGTAACGAGATCTTGTCCTCCTAGCTCGACCTCACTCTGGGGTGCTTCTATCTATGGAGTCTATACTGGATCTGGTTGTACCCGCACCGAGACCACCACTCCTTGGGTCGCTAGAGCTTCAGGTAGGTTGCTCAAGCCTTCTGCTGCAACGAGGGCAGCCGACGAGCTCCCGGAACTGACCGGCCTGTGAATTGGCCCGTACCTACATCCGGGCCAATTCTGGGCCCAAGTTTTGAGGCCCAGCAACCCGCCAGGCTGGGAAGGGTCGTAAACCGACCCGCTAATTGGCCATGTGATATGGTCTCATATAAGGATGGGAGTGGAGTAACTATCTAAAGAGGAGAGGACCACATGCATTATCATATTAGAACAGTTAAAATAAATATTGGGAAAGACAAAATGCCTTTTAGAGGACGAGCATGTAAGCTAGCTTTGACTAACTATAATTTATGCACATACTAATATGGTGCCATAGATAGAAGCACTTAAAAAATTATTCAACTTCACACACAATAACATTTATGCAACCATGCAAGTAACTCCATCCATAACTCTACCACGGCTAGTGAGTAGCGTGTGCACAACAGACATAATAGGCCTTGTTTGGTATTTAGCGGTTAGCTTTAGCGGATAACAGATGGTAATAATTGTTTTGACCAGCGGTTAGTATTAGTTGTTTTGATCAGCTGATACTGTTAGCGGTTCTAAAAAATATGTTTAGTTAAATAGCTAATTGATTTGTAAAAATTATATTTAATGTTATCAACTTACTTATTTTATTATATAAATACTTAAAAAGCAATAAATACCAATTCTATTTATGTAATTATTTTTGTATCAACATAAGTTAATTGATTCTTAAATTAAATTAAGTTTTCTTACTTATTATAATTAAAGTATAAAAAAAATATGAATCAAAAAATATAAAAAGTGTGTTAATGTACTTAAATACGAATTGGTATTAAAAAATGACAACAAAATTTTCATCTTTATCTTTCAAATAGCCTATTAACTGAATTTTAAAAAACTGAAGTGCAACACTCACATGAAATAAATGCAAGTAACTAAATTTGCTAATTAAAATTATATTTGGTTAAATCAAAGGTTTTTATTAATTACCAATATTTTACTTACTTTTACAATATTATAGTAATTTAAGGTTTTTTTATTAATTGTAGTTATAATTACCTAATGCCAAATCATTTATAGTTTTAATACTTAATAGAGTTATTTTGTAATTAAATAATAATAATAATAATAATAATAATAATAATAATAATAATAATAATAATAATAATAATAATAATAATGATATAACCTCCATATATGTTAATAGTGTTCTGACCAATATAAGGGCAATAAACATGTCAACAGTCTATTCTTGTTAATTTATTGCTTTTTTTTAAGTGCTAATTTATGCTTTCTTTCTCTATATGTTAAATAGTGTTCTAACCAATATAAGGGCAATAAACATATCAACAATCTATTCTTGTTAATTTATTGCTTTTTTTAAATGCTAATTTATGCTTTCTTTCTGTGTAACATACTTATGTTATTGTCCTTCATTTTTTTTAAGTATTTTAAAACATTAAAAAATAATTATGTTAGTGGTGGTCATCAATTTCTAATTCGTGACAATTTCCAATTTGGCTAATTTGGCTTCTTGGAGCAAAAGGCTAAGTAAAAAAGCCATTGTACAAACATAATTATTAGCTAATCAACAAGTCAAATAAACTATAAAATGATCGAACAGCTAAAAGTTAGTTGAAAAACCAATTACCAAACGCAGCCATACTGAAATTTGCATGTTGAACCCTAAAACTAAAGCTGGAAGCCAATTTTAGCTCGAGAGCATTCTGATGAAGGGGCAACATTCATTTATTGAGAAAGCATTTCGACATACATTGCAGTGTTACCAAATTGTACTTCGACTGGGACAGAAAATTATTACTTATAAAAAGAAAGAGTTGTAAATAAATAAAATGAAAAAAAAAAGGCAACATCAACAAAATCTCGTCACTTGTTCATATATGTTCGTCTATGTGCCTCACAAAGATGATGTTGTCTCTTTAATGGATTCTTGAACAGCCTTCAAGAGGGAAGGCATCAATTTCTGATTCGTGACAATTATTCCTGTGTCCACATCGAGATACCGACCCTTTGAGAAGTCCAATGCTTTTCCAGAGGCATCTGAGGCAACACCTCCAGCTTCTGCAAAAACCAAGCATAAGCGTACATTTATGCCTCCATTACATTTTTGCAATTATTACAATTATGAAGAGATCTAGACAACAAATTATATATTGTTAATCGTGAATTTTGCATGTAATCAAATCTAATTTAAGACATAAGCACACAATCTTAACCAAACTAAGTTCACAAATTTTATTTTGTCGATCAGATATTTTTTTTGCAACCATTTCAATCTCCTCAACACGTATCAGTTTAAATCTCCAATCAGCTCGATATGAATGCAAGTGCTTTGAAAATAAAACAGTTAACAGCAACTATGAATAATATTATGTTATTATAATAGGAGTCACCCATTTTACCTGCAACAACAATGTATCCAGCGGCATGGTCCCATATCTTTTCTCGGTAACCTTTGCGAGGAAACCTCATATATATCGACCCATCTCCTCTAGACAAAGCTCCATACTTTGCTTGGCTATCTATCCTGACGGGTTCAGCTTTAACACCAAGTTTCTGAACAATGAATAACAACACTAAGGAGTTTATTTTTATTTTTTCAAAGGGTGGGACATGGAGAATGCATCTGTTCTTTTACCTTTGCTATCAAGCTAGATAAGTCATGTGAAGAATGAGCTGCTTCGTAAGATTCGAAAAATGATGCTTCTTCAGTGTTTTCAGTAGCACTAACGTGTACCTGAGAAGGAAATAAGAAAGTGTCACATATCGGAATAGAAGTATTTGAGAGTTGAGGCTAAGGAGATATAGACCTTTGTAGGAAGGGAGCCATCTAAACTTTGCATATATGTTCCGGTACCAATTTGGGCGAAAAATAGACAGCCAGTCTTATCTTCGGAAATGTTTGGATCATGTCTGGCAATAGATGCGAAAGGAAGATTCGGACAGGCTAACACTCCCAGGACAACTTTCCCTTCATCTAGTAATGCTAAAGCAATGGCATATTGATCCCCTCTTAAAAAGCTGCATCTCCAAAACACAGCGCATTAGTGCAATCTACGGATTTTATATTATTAAACAACTCAATGCAGTTCCTAGTTAGAATGAAGCAAAGAATGTTCCAAATTGAGTATAGATATGTTGCCATAAAAATATGTGAATAAAAACTCTTGAAGCGTAGGGTTTCAGGATATAACATGGTCAACTAAGCACATTTCATTAGAAGTGACGTTTTTTGTTACGGAAGTACATTTAATAGAGTACTCTATTAATATTATAAATAAAAAAGTAACACCAACTGAAGCTAAGAAATAAATAAAATAAAAAAGAATATGTAATCAGGTGTCTTAAAATTTACTATTCAGCCTTAACAGCTGACGTTATGTGCCACCTGAAGTATGCTCCAGGGATAAGTGCTGCAAGTAATTAACATATCAGTGAATTCTAAATAACAAATATTAGTACGACCCGGAATTCTCATAATCCAAGAAGTGAATCTACTCACAGAGCAATTGAAAACAGCAAAAAAATGTGGATCAAGCACAGATAACTAGGTATGACTCACTGCTTACCCTTTAGTGCCATCAATCGGGTCCAGAACCCAATGCTGACCATGAGGCCCCCCTTCAGATTTTCCATTGTCAATAGCTACAAGCACTTGTTCCTCAGACAAAGCTGGCAGCCCATCACTAGCTAGGGTCTCATTCACGAGTTCTGTTACGCGATGCAGGGTTTCTCTGGATTCTTCGTTGCGAAGGTCCCCAGAGTCCTATAACACTTAAAGCAATCTTATTGTCCCCCACAGAAAGAAAGCCTAATAAGTGTGAACTAGAGATCACACTTTTAGAAGTTATATTTGTCCACATTGATTTGTTACTAGGTTGTTAGTGTGTATAAGTGAATTGAGCAACCTATCCCTTTGAGCTAGCTTTTGGGGATGAGTATCCCTAACCCATTTATCATGGTATCAAAATACCCAAGTTTGTTTGTTTGGAGGCAATGTTGGGTTTGGACCTAAAACATTTAATTTGGCATGCTACACGTAATGACAGGTGTTTTAAGTTATATCTGGCCCATATCGATTAGTTACTGTGGCTTTTATTGAGTATAAGTGTGGATTGGGCACCCTCTTCCTTTAAACTAGCTTTTGGGATGAGTTCTACTAGCACTCATTTATCACACTCACTAGAAAAAAAAANNNAAAAGGAGATAACAGAAACGAAAACAATAGAAAATGAAAAAAATAAAAAGTGAGGTTTGTGCAGAGCCCATGTATATGTAATAGTAAGCTTGTTACAACCACCAACTTAAACCAATGAGTTGTATGAATACCTCTTCAGCTACTAATGAGAATGGAACTGACTGAAACTCTTTCTCGAGAATAAAGCTAACAATGGCCTGTGAACCTGCAGAATACATACAACTATGCAAGTTCAAATTTATTCAAACCCTGAAGCTATAATTGCATGATGATATTTAAAAAAAAAAATAATAATAATAACTAAGAAATTCATGTGATGACTCATTATACACCGACCAATTGTTTCATGATAAAAGATGATATCATAAATTTATAACATATGATCCTCACCCTTAAAGACGTATAGCAATGCCACATGTTTTCTGTTGCCACTTGCCAGATATCAATTTAGTTTAGTCTTGGACATGCAAGCACTCATTTAAAAAAAACCAAAAAAAAGAAAAAAAATCTTCTTAAGAAACCAAAAACACCCACATTCACCAAAGAAGGAGCAAGAGAGAAAGTAAGAGCATCCACAAAACAACGATTCAAAGGATGCTTCAAAAGTCATAGAACATCAACCAAGAAATATTAAATTATCCCAGGTGGGTTCGGTGGAAATGGCGTTATAAATTCATAAGCCAGACAAAATTCAAAGAACCAATATAAAGTAGGTAACTAATTTTATATAGAAACAATGGACCAAATTTGGTTCTATCCATGTTTTTTGCGAAATTTACGCAAGTATGAGCATGCCATATGCTGAAACAGAGTGGAAGATAGCATTGACTTTTTGCGAACAAAAGAGGGGGACAACAACATTATAGAAGAAACTACACCGTGAAACAATAGTGCAACAGAAATTTTATAGATGAGCTAGTCGAAAAATACCATAATCCGCTACTGTGACAGGACTTTTATCAGATTTTGCATGGACATCAGATTGCAACAAAGCCTTCTGAACCTTCTGTGGAACAGGAAAAAGATATGTCTTAGTCAAAAAGTGGCACTGTATGAAGGATCAGCTCATTGAGCTGCCACCTTCGACATAAATACAACCATAATCTCTTGTATGAATTAAGGAAACTGGTATAATAAGAACATGAATGCAATTAAATCACTCAGACAAATTATCAACAAACATTCTAAATTTTGTAAATAACTAACAGCTGCGTTTTCTTGAGATAGCCACAACTACATTTTCCAAACATACACAACATAATACTGGTCCGCAATCCATAAACCTCAAAATCTGTCGGTTCATTATCAACTCCATAAGAACTCAGCCTTTGTACCTGCCCTTCATATGGGTAACTCACAAAAGGATCGCCACCATATCATATAGCAGCATTACAGACGACCAATCGAGCGAAAATAAGTTCACAAAAAACAAGGCATCGAACCAAAAGATGCAAAATGACCTGACATAAGCGAGAAGCGAGAGATGCAGCTTTCATGGCGGCGGCTAATTGACTGTCGTAAGACATTGATGCAAATGTTCCTCTTCTTCTACTTGGTGCTCGGGCAGTAGAGAGTGACACAGAGAAGAGGAATCGGTTGGAATGGGGAATCTGGGTTGTGGTAGAAGAATTTATACTCAACGATAAAAGTCGTCGCGTGAATTTGGGTGCAACCGTATGCCCAATTGTGACACTCATCGCCAGCTACCGTCTCTACTA